ATCAATCAGTAAGTAATTCTCAAAGAATGTACACGAAGCTAATCCTAATCCATTTTCAGCCGTAACAATATTATGCCTAGTGATATCGTTAGCTCGATCTTTGTGATTGGTGCTGCTGGGTCTGCGATTTGTTACGATGCTCGTAATTCACGAGTCTTTGCCCCACAAGATACTTATCGTTTTTAATATGCTCGTATAACTTTTTGAACTGTCGTATCTGAAAACAGATCACTGCGCAGACCAAGTGTACTAAAAGGAGAAAAGGATATAAACGCCTGGCGATAAGAATCTGGGTCTGCAGATTAGTCACAAAAAGTGGAACTATCCCATAAGCCACGGCATAAGGAACCGCGAGGGCAAGACCGAAGCAACAAATAACAGGAGCCGCTAATTCCTTGATGACAAATTTTAAATCCATTTCTCTTATTCCTTCATTATATGCACGCTCGATAGCGAGACGTATTCGCCAATCCGGTCCCATCATTGTTACGGCGGTAGCTATTTTCGTGTATAGTACACCTAAGGCCCAATCTTGCCAAATGAATAAGATAGGATTTTGCTCTAATGGGACACGTAATGGAACTACCACCACTAACTCGAGAAGAAGACCGAAGAGGAGAGGTATGACTCCGACAAGCAATACAAATGCTACTGAAGCCTTCACGGCCAAGATCGCCCAGTGTTTGATCCGATCTATAATTGCTCTTCGGCCGCGAGGTAACCAGGAGAATGCTAGCGCTAAACCTCGCGCTGCAGCCCAACATACATACGTTCCGCAGGCTATCGTGTATACTTCATGCACTCTTCCGGATAGAGAACTCATAGACTCGCCACCATCTAAAATAAAAATCGTAGTTTAAAAAAAGTCATCAATAAAATGTTTCGCAGATTTATAATATATAATTTATAATAAGTGTAATATTTTTTTTCAAGGCATTTAAAAATTCGTATTAATTCGTAAAAAAGATTTTTGAGAAATGGAGGATAGTTAAGATGACTTGCCAGATCCAGTTAATGTAGGCGGTAGTACAGGCGGTGACGGAGCGGGTGCCCCTACCATCCACAACGCCATCACTCTACGTCCGAGCCACACAGGCAGTGTCATAGCGACTAGACTAGCGATTACAAGAGATACGCAAACAAAGAGAAGAAGTCCGATCAATCTCGCGGGGAACCATCGCGGTCTGACATAAGGTTGAAATCCCGTAGGTCCTTCTCTTTGCAGCAACGCTTGGTGTGCGGCGCCCAAGTCCGGATGTTGCGGTTCTTCGATTACCGCCGGACCTGGATCATCCGCTTGATCTCGCAGAAGATATGATTGCAGATCCAATATCCACGCTACTACGCGACACCATGTTCTCACTAGAGCCTTTAACCACGTGCGAGTATGCGATTGTTCCAATAATGCGGGAAGGATTACTTGCAATAGAAGCAGTTCCAGTGAAAGCTCGCTGACCTAGAATTTAGAGGATAAACGTATAACTAAATAATCATCATAAATAAAATAAATTGTCATTATCATTCTTTTTTTACCTGAGCTTCGCTTTGTACGGTCACGGTATAAGGTAAAAATCCTGGCCAAGCCCATCTCAGAATCTTCACGGGCAACCACAACATCAATAATATGGCCGTGCCAAATATAATCGCAGACGCGACTAGTCGCCGTACATGTCGTAATATGGGAAGATGAATCATTTCTTGTATAGGAGAAAAATCAGGGTCGTTTAGATTCCGCAAGAACCAGAGAACTCCAGGCCGCAAGACTTCACGTAACAGAAGAATAAATGATGCAAAATAATAAATATAAACCATCCCCACTAGCCAATGAATGAACATAGATGTGCCGGGAGCAAGCCTAAATGAGGATTCTCTATCTCTGAGAGTGGCGTCAAACATCGCCAACGAGCAAATATCTAACCACCAGCCGCAAACTAATGGAAGTACACCGATCTCTACGACAGAGAGCAGAGAGACTTTGACGATAACATAACAGAGTCCCAAGATTCTCTGAGAACGTTGAAAGCCTAGCAATGCGGCGAGAGTGTGAAGGACCACTAGACAAACTCCAATAACGCAGTAACCACACAATGTAGTTACCAGACCTTCAAAGTGCGACGCGGCTGCATGTTCCTGCAGGCCCAATCCTGCTATTGTGAAATGACCAATATGATATGGACAGAAAGCGAATACCTGAAAAAAGATATACATTTGAAAATAAAATAAGAAAAATGAATTGTCTTATACTTACTTTTTTAAAAAACTTACACATTAGCTAATAACCGTGTATAGACTCACCATGATAAACAAGGTATTTAGGGACACAACCCAGAAGACATGTTCAAGAAAGACAAGAGATCCATCTAATCCTAAGAGACGTTCCCAGGTTAATTCTTCAGCAGGTCTGTCCCACTCCATAGGATTCCAATTGGCCTCCTCGGCTTCACCCTGCGCCTGCCCTACTACATGTGCTTGCACCGCTACATGTGCTCTCGCCCAACGTTCGCCACCCGCGGCATTTGGCTGTCCACCATCTACGCCGAGTTCATCTCTGATTGGAAGAGGTGGAACAGGAGCTGGTGCCTGTACATCCCTCACTAGATCTTCAGGTTCGCCAATTCGAGGATTATTGGCCAAGTTCTCTGCTATGTCCTGATACATAGGACGTTGATCTATAATTTGATTTAAAAAACAAAAAAAATCATTAATTTGTATAAAAAAACGAAGACAATAGAATTTATCGTATTATTGCAACTTGATCGTTCTTAAAGTTATAAAAATCTAATTTATCTTACCCTCGTTATGTAATTCTCCTTCTTGTGGAATGGGTGGATCAATAAAGGGAGGGACATTATTGTTGTCCTGGACTTCCTGTGGCATAGCACGCTGTTCCTGAGGTTGTTGTGGTCGTTGTGCGTTTGCTTGTGGCGGATTGTCAACTGGAGGCAGCTGTATATCCCTTTCAAGCCAGTCGGGACCGCCCGCGTGTAAAATCTGTTCACGTAGCCATACTAGGCCAATAAACGCGAACAAGGTGCAAGTAACTACAAAGCAACCATGAAACACATCCGAAGATATATTCTCGGTGGAGAATATGTCCATTGGTAATGACATTATCTACAAATACACAAAATTGTTAATGAAGTTTTCAGCTTTTAAATTACAAACCTCTTGTATCAAAATCAAAGATATTATACATATTCCTCTCACTTACTCTAACTAAATCAAGCGGACCGCTGAAAAGAGCTCTGTACGTGCGACATGCAGTTAAAGGGACCACTCCCAGCCATGCAATCGCCACCAAAGTATAATGTAACCAATATTTCACAGCGGTAACAATACTTGAGAATAAACCACCGATGACATCTCTCAATGGTAAACGCCGTGGCATGTCTGGGCTATATATAGGAGTAAATGAGAAACGATAGCCGCAAAGTTCACAGTATTCCTTGCGAGAATAACGCATCCATTGAACTAGACATTCCTGATGTATCCACTTAATGCTGCCTGTACAGATACATGGATGAAATAGAGGTCTGTCTGTAAGGCCTTCAGATCGACAGACCCGACAGATGTCCGCACCCAACATGTCCTCCGTCATGTTTGGTATTTAAAAAAAACACGTATCACAAGCAAAGGGAAGTTAGAAGTGATTCTCTAACACTGAAAACATATGAAACATTTTTGCATCACATAATTAATAAACATAACATTTTTAAAAATATATGTATTTATGACATCTCGTTTTGTCAAATTTTTTGTACAAAGCTTATATTTTCAATGCAGATAACTCAATTGTGAGATTATGAGGCATTTTTCTTCTCAACTGAGACACTTCTCATTGTCTTCATGACAATTTGAATTATTATATAAGAATGTTAATTCTTTTGATACAACATTTTGAAATAATTAATTACATTCTTCCAAACATTTCAATCAGTAAACACTATATAATTTTTAAATTCATAAATTTCTCTATAACAAAAAATTTTAATTTACGTTAAACCCGCCGTTAAATCCGACAAAACTAAGGATGCAGATGCTGATTCTTTTTTCCCTGATTTGCAAAAAATAATTTAGAAAAGATTAATGAGACGCGCGTAAACGACGAAATTCGTATTTAAGATGAAAAAACAAATCTTCAAAGTATGTGAAACGGAAATGGGCGCATTAGCGAATAGCTTGAGGCCGCATTTCCGTTAAAAGATTAAGCAATCGCGTGAATTTGACCGACGTCCGTGAATTTGATGCGTGGTAGGGACGATTGTTCAATGACACGATACGACACGGCATGACATGACATGATACATTACATGACACGTCAAACTTTTGCGAAAAACAACGTCAGGATAGCTAGCGGGTATCGTAATATTCGAACATCAGGAACCCCGATCAGTTTCGCGGATCGTCAGACAAAAGGAAGAGAAGAGCACAACCCGTCGTTACAAAATAAAAATCGTGTTGCATATATGCGTACATACATACGTGTTTCCGATTTTTTTATGACCTCTGAATTTCTCACTAGCGTAATAATAACGATGTAGCACAACATTTACGATAATCAATACTCACGTGTAAATGTATTCTAAGAAAAATCTACATCGGAGATCCAAAACTTTTATTGTGCAAAATATATATCGACATGTTCACTTCTTTCTTTCTTTCTGCGTTCTCGGCCTCGCGTCTGGTGACTTTCGAAACCTGCGAGACACAAAATCACCACGCCTCGGACTAGGTATGCTTGTTCTCTAAAAGTTTCTAGCAAGCACATTTGGATGCATCCAGAAGCTTATTGAATGCTTAGCCTGGATCTTTATGGAGATCTTCCGACGCTTTGACACTGATCGCCGATTGATGAAAAATGGATAATGGAGAGGGGAGGGTAAATAATAAAGATTCATTTACCGTTTTATCCCCACTACTCATTTTCCACCAATCAGTATCTGTTGCTGTGTTCTGATATTTATAGCCAGTACTGAAAATCTATAATATATGTGACTAGTGTTGCTATTAGGACCGCTTTCTCGCGCATGCGTATTATGATATGAATAGTCATATCTAGGACTGTAACATGACATACGTATAATAGGCGTTAAAATTTTGGCGGGCTCCACGGATAGGATGAGATAGGTTAAGTAAAGTAAGTATTTAAATATTATTAATTGTTATTAAAGGTAAATGTTATTATTTATTATTTGTTATTAAACATAAATATAATATGGATATATATCCATATTACCAAAAGGGGACCATTAAAAAGCATGCTTGTAATTTTCATATAAAATATTTTATTTCATTTTAAAATATTTTATTTTAAACACATAAATGTATTTTATTATATACTTTCTTTCCTTACATTTACAAAAATATAACTTTGTTAAAAAATTAATGTTATTGTAGGTTATTAATATTAATATTAATATTAATTATATTTAAAATTCTATATAATTAAATAATTTTTATATAATTTTTATAATTTTATACAATTGTATATAATTATAAACAATTTTATATAATATAAAAAATTTCAATAAAAGAGATATGTGATACCTTTTTTCTTCTAAACGTGATACTTCAATAAACCTGCATCTAAATATGCGAGAAAGCGTTCCTGATAGCACTGTACATGACCTGGGTCGGGATTCTGTATTCGCTTACTGTCGGTATCGTTAATTAACGACAGCCAATGACAGTCGCGCTTTTTTCAAGATCGTCCTTGCATTGGCTGTCGTTAGTTAACGACATCGACAATTGTCGGTGGACATGTACAGAATCCCGGCTCTGAACTATATATTTTCAGTACTGGCAGTAAATATCGGAACGCAGCCTAGTACAATCAGTTCAGCCAAGAAGAACAAATTTATTATTAGTCACTGATTGTTCACTGATTTCAAATAAAATTCAGACATAACCATTCTCAGATGTTTCCTTCTAAATAAAAAAACAAAGAATCTAAAGTGCAAAGAAATGTAGATACATTCTGTTTTTCGTCAACAAATCCTATTTCCATGGATATCGATCATGTATTTTTTCTTAACGTAAGCTCATGAAAAATGAAAAATTTGTATTGAAATTTTCAAGATCGTACAAATTGATCAAAATGAAAAGAGCGAATATATTTGTTTTATTGATCAAATTTTACAATATCAATCCTCTACTACGCAACAATGCATATTTTGATACAAATTTAATCTGAATTTAATTCTAATTATAAGAAGACAAAGATTAAAATTAATAAATATTAATAATAGAAGAAATAAAGGCACGTTTAGTTTCTATTTTTTAATTGAATAATAATTAAATCTTATTAATTTTTACTGATGTAAAATTATAATTCTTGTTCTATGTAAAAATATTTTATATATTAAAATTTCATTTTGTAAAAAATAGAAATAGAAAGATATATGCAACAAAAATCTCTATTTTATAGAAATTATTTTATAGAATTTTGTAAAGTTCGAGTTTTCTGCAAGATAAAGTGTAAAACAAAAATAAATTTTATAAAATATATCATTACCATATCATACTACATAATACATGTATGTAAAAAAATTATATAATCTAAATAATATATCATTATCGTGTACATATTGTACATCATTCAGATTATATAATTTGTTTTATTATATTTATATATATTATATTATATATAGATACTTATTAGATATATAGATATATTATTAGAATATTTATACAGATATAATTTTATTTCGTTCTGTCTCTTGTTAGAATCTTATAAAGTTCTTCTCTATGGTAGCCCACACTCTTGTAAAATTCTTCGAAAAACCTTTTGGCAGTTTGTTCTAAATATGTCTTTCTTCTTATAACTGCATCTAATTTGTCTTGTGCTTCTTCTATCTCGAGATCTATCGCTTTTATATCCGGCATCATATTCTGCATCTCTTTAATCTCGTTTCTCAAATCCTCAATCTGTTTTGTAAATTTCACTTTCTCTTTTTTCATATTTTCCTTCATTTCATCAATATGAGATATCTCATCTTTCAATGCATTATGTCCATCTAGCAAAAATTTAACTTTTTCCTGTAATTTTTCCAATTTTACGGTTTCGGAACAAATAAGAGATTCTATCTCATTCAATTTTTTCGTTAATATTTCTTTGATTTTTATTATTAAAGAAGTCTTCTCTTTCATTACATCCATTATTTGTGGCTCTAGCAATCCTTTCTCTGGCAATTTTAATTCATCAAAATTTATAATATCGTTATCAGTATGCATAAAGACTTCCTTATTATATGCCAATATCGCTTTATTAAGATTATTACTGAGGGATGTTAACTGCATATCTAAAGTATATGTTTTCTTTTCATAATCTTTTAAATGCTCGTCAAATTGATGCATATAATTTTGACGTTCTGTGCACTCTTTAATAATATCTTCTTTTTGTCTCTTGGATATAGCTTGATTTTTTACAGTTGATCTTAATTGTTCAAGTTGTACATTTCCTATTCGAATCTGTTCATCTAGAGTTTTGTATTCTGTGTTTAATTGATTTGTCTCAGCGGAAAATGTTTTTATACAATTCTCCATGGTTTCAATATCGTTTAATTGTTCAGTTTCTCTAGCATGCAAAAATGCTAATTTCTGTTGTAACTGTTCAACCTTTTTATCGACTTTCTGTGATTCTTCTTTGAGCATCTGCAATTTCACCTCTTCTTTCTTCAGTTCTTCACGCGCTTGAATTATGTCATCGTCGGTAACGCCCTGTTGGACCGATATATTCTGCAAGTATTCCTCCAACAATTCTGCCTCCTCATCATGCTTTTCATCATTCCAAGCTTTATAGCATTTTAACAGTGTTTGAAACTCCAGATTGTATCTTTGAGTTTCTTGCTCTGTTCCTATGAATGGCAAAGTTTCCAATTTATATGTATCAAACGCAATCTCTCTCACTTGGCATACTTCTACCAGCCATCCAATCCAACCGAGAACATAAGGCCATGAATGCATTGCACTGACTGTCCTCAGCCATGATTTAGTCATTACCCCAGGATAGTGCAACTTCTTGGCATATTTTGGTAATTCTTCTATATAATTTGTCGTCGTGAGATCATGCTTAATGTTGAAAAAAAATCTGAGAAGAAAGCCAGAGACCTCTACAAACATCTTTGATGTAATCGGTTTTAAACTCCCATTACTATTTAGCATTGGTAATTGATTTGATTTAACTGATAGTATAGAAAAAAAGTCATCTATCTTGTTCAGTAAAACTATCCGATAGTCTTTATCATTCAGGGGTCTTGTATCCTTTTTAGGTCCCTTAGCACTTACACCACTAGCACGATCACCAGATGGTGATCGACCTATTGATAATGGTGAATGAGATCTGCTCAAACTCGCTGTAGATACTAGGTTTGTAGTGAATTTAGTAAGTCTTGGCGTAATTGGAGTTGTTGATAACTGGGTTCTACCTGCATACATACATGGATGAAAATAATTGAGATAAAAATCAAAGCATATCTCAGGTTAAATAAATTAAATCTATAATGATAGAAAACATATTTTGATCTTGTAAGCTGACTCAAGTTGCTTGACTGCGCTTCAGAAATTTCATTTAGAATAATGCATATGCAAATTTTTAGATTATATTGATATAATGATGAAGTTATAATAAAATTATAAATGCCTCAGGAAAAACATTTGTTACTTTAAAAAAAACTTCAGAAAATTTTACGCTTTAAAATTTTAACGCAGCCTGGAGAAGACAAGAATTTTAGATACTCAAAGACGCGAGATACCTGTAGTAGTTTTCAAATATGATTTTCTGCCGAGTGATCCTGCTCTATCGTTGGAAAAACTTCTGAAACGAGATCTGGGAATGTGAGAGGTCTCGACGATCGATTTTTTCGAGTTTACTGTTTGCGTTTTCCGCTGATCAGTCCGAGGCAAGCTTTTGTCCTCCCGTTCGATTGCGGATATCCTTACGGGATTACTGGATGATCTACGTTTCATTGAATGCATGGCCACTTTTGCGAAACAATGCGCGAAATCACGAGAGACTTGAAGAGACGCATGGGCATCCAGCTCTAAAATTCACGAACTTCGAGGATCCGTGTTGTTGTATCGCGAAATTCAAATTTTCAGTTTCTCAATCAGTGTGGCCAAATAAGCTAGCAAAATTCTCTTTGATATTAAACTTGAAATTGTTGCATTCCCTAGTATTATTTTTATATATAAAGTATATCTTCATATCATGAAAATTCACAACGAAACACAAGGTTCTTTTTCAGTTGAATTTCTTGCACAGTTCATTTTTCTCTTTTTCTCTCTAAGTGTCGGTCCACAATAAGTATTTAATCTTTAAGCCGTAAGAAATTGACCAATCATAGTCGAGTATTTTTTTCATATTCGATTATAATTGGTCAATTTCTTACTTCTTAAAGCTTAAATCACTTATTGTGGACCGACACTTACATGGAAAGAAATCTAAAAATCCTAAAAATTTAGAAAAATTTCTCTTCCTTGATTGGCTGCTACTTGCCGCTTGCTGCGAGCAAATCAGACTTAAAGCGAGATAGATATACTGTGAGCATTGATAAAAAAAGAACGAGAATGCGAATGCAGAAAACCGGCGTCTTTTTAGCTGAACTTCCTGTACCGTTTATCTTTTCTCTTTTTTCTCCAAGCCAAAGAGAAAAAGAAGAAAGATAAATAATATAAGAAGTTCAGTTAAGGATACAATCAAGTTTCACTAGAAATGCTTTAAAGCATTTGATCGATCGACCAGGGGGTCAATCATGTAACTTTACGTGAAATTTTTCACTTTTCATTTTTCATTTTTTACTTTTCATTTTTCACACCTTGACATTTCACGTGAAACTTTTCACGTATTCAGCGATTATGTATGTAGCGTGGATGCGTAGAAAGTGAAATCAACAAACATAGTTTCATAGTTTTATAGCTAATGAAAATTATTTTATTGGTACAGTATTATATACATCTTTTAATAATCAATTGTATATGTATTACGTACACTTAATTCTAACGCAGCCCTAACGCTTCTCTAATTCCGAAGCATATTTATTAATTCCCTAAATTTCCGCCACCAAGGTACATGGCGAAAAAGTTCATCTGAAAAATTTCACATTTTCAGAGAGAGTTTGAGAGAGTTACAAGATCCCGCAAAATCGTACATGATTGTAAGTTCACGTGAAACTTTTCACTTTTCACGTTTCCGCCCTAGGGAAAAAGTTACATGATCGACCCCCAGAACAAAGAATTTTATCAATTGACTAATCAAAAATGCTTCAAACATTTGTAGCATGAAGTTAACTGCACTCTAAAAAGAACAGACTTGTACACATAACCAAATCGCGCACATGTATTCTTGATAGTTGGTCTTTAGCCATCGAGTGAGTGGGACGTCTTTTGTCCTCACATGAATTTTTGTGTTGCGTCATGCAATTTGTTAAGGATAAAGAGAAAGCTAAACGTGGATAAAGAGAAAGTTGAACTAGAATATCACAGAATACAGAGAAACTTATAAAGGATTTAGATAAACCTGTGTTATATAACCCTAGGGTTGAAGACACATAGTCGGAATTAATCCGACATCCTCCAACCGGAGGAAAAGAGAAAAAAAAAAAATGTATTCTTGATAAACAGAATTTTGGAGCGGAATTCGGTCTTATCATCGACGATAAAGCGTAAAGTAGTTTTATATCCCGATGTTACGAGTACACAATTAGAACCATCGTGAATTGTGGAGAGCAAGTTTATAACCTTCACCTTATAACCGGCAGAAAAAAATCGCCAACAATTGATATAAACAATTGATATAAATAATATAATAACGAAAGAAAGCAGAATGAATGGCTTTGTATCGTCAGGTTAAGAAAATACTCAAATATCCCCCTATCTGGAGAATAGTTAAAAAAAAAAAAATTCGCCAGCAATGCCAAATCAACGGCCACCCTTGTATTATGGCCTTTTTCAAATGGCATAATATCGCATTAAATTATATGATATCTTGCGGCCCGACGTTCAAGACATTCAGAGGCATAGCCAACAATTTCTCCAATAAGAAATTCGCAATTGTTTTTTATTTGCCAAAACAATATTGTTCAAAGAGCGATATGAAAGTACTTAATGTTGCGGAGAAGCACGACGCGGCTAAAAACATTGCTGGCTATTTGTCGCGCGGCACCAGCAGAAAGGTAAACACTTGCATTATAGAACATTCCCTCTATAATAATCTTGCGGCTATTGTTAAGTGCTTTTCATTTGTATTTATTCAATTTCTTATTTGTGAAGAAGCTGTAGAAATTCTTATATCTAATTCTATACAGATATAGTTCTATAGTAATATAGTTCAATATAGAGTAATTTAACTTTAATTTTACTTTAATTTACTCTTAACCTTTTTTTAATTCTTAAAACTAAAAGTTATGAATGGTATAATAATATAAATTAAATCAAAATTAATCTATATCAATAAAAGGAAATACTAACACTTCTCAATTTTTTTACAGAGAGAAGGTTTATCTGTATATAACAAGATTTTTGAATTTGATATACAACTATGGAATCAGAACTGCAAAATGGTCATGACATCTGTATCCGGCCACTTATTAGGCTACGAATTTGTAGGAGCTTATCGCAAGTGGCATGGCTGTCATCCATTAAGCTTATTCGATGCTCCAGTATCTAAACAGTGCTTAGAAGAAAGTTATATCAAGATTAAAAAAACCTTAGAACGGGAAATACGATCTTGTCAAGCATTGATTATTTGGACAGATTGTGATAGAGAAGGGGAGAACATAGGCTTTGAGATTATCGAAGTCTGCAAAGCAGTTAAATCGAATATCCGTATATACAGGTAATTAAATAGCTATGTTCAAGAAACATGATTGTGCAATCATTGCGTGAGCGCTCGATATTGTTGACATTTCTTTTAGATTCAACATAGATGTAAATGTCCACTTTTATCACAGATAACGATTACTGAACGCTCGCTCAGAACAATCGTTTCCTGAACGCAATCTAGATCCTATGTTTTTTTATTTGTTTGACGAGATCTGTAATGTTCCAGAGCAAAATTTTCAGAGATTACGAAACAGTCTATTGAAAGAGCTCTTCAAAATTTGGGAGAACCAGATAAAGCAATGAGCGATGCTGTAGACGTAAGGAGCGAATTAGATTTAAGAATCGGTATTAGTTCTGTCAGAAATTGTGTTATTAATTAGAATTATGACTACTATGCTATAACTTCCATATAATTATTATTCATAAAACATATCGATAGGTGCTGCGTTTACGAGGTTTCAAACCTTAAGATTGCAGAAAATATTTCCCAATACTCTCGGGGATCTGCTTATCAGTTATGGAAGCTGTCAGTTTCCAACACTTGGATTTGTAGTTGAGAGATTTCTAGCTATCGATCGATTCAAATCCGAGCCATACTGGAAGTTAAGAGTAATCGACGATCGCAATGGGATAGCCGTAGAATTCAGATGGGCCAGAGTAAGACTGTTCGAGAAAATGCCTTGCCAGATCTTTCTGGACATCTGCCTGGAACAGCCGGAAGCTACAGTAGAGAAAGTAACATGCAAACCGAAAAGTAAATGGAGACCTCTACCTCTGGATACCATTGTGAGTAACCGAATCAAGGGTCAAGTTGAGAGGTTTAGCATTCTATCTTAAGAATCATCAATTTAGGAATTGGAGAAACAAGGCTCTCGTAAGTTGCGCATGAACGCAAAGGAGACGATGAGAATAGCGGAGAAATTGTATACCCAAGGTCTCATCAGTTATCCGCGCACAGAAACGAATATATTCCCGAAGGAATTAAATCTGACATCTTTAGTAGAGCAACAAGTAAATAATCAAACTTGGGGTGGCTTTGCGCAAAATTTATTGGCATCTGGAATAACTCCTAGACAGGGGAAGAAAAGCGATCAAGCGCATCCTCCCATTCACCCCACAAAATACACCGACAGTTTGCAAGGTCTGTTCTCAGGCATCTTCTTACTCATTACTCGATTGTTAATTTAAATCGATTAATTTAATTGATTAAATCGGTTTATTAACAGGAAACGAAGCGAAAGTCTATGAATTTGTGGTTCGACATTTTCTGGCTTGTCTATCGAAAAACGCAGAAGGCAGAGAAACAACGGTGGATATCAATATAGCAGGAGAAAGATTCACAGCTAACGGTCTCGAAATCATAGCGAAGAATTATCTTGACGTGTATATTTATGAAAAATGGAACAATAAAGAGATTCACTCTTATATTGAGAGGCAAACTTTCCGACCGACCAGCATCGATATGATGGAAGAAAAAACTTCACCGCCGAGTTTACTAACCGAAGCCGAGTTGATTGCATTGATGGACAAACACGGCATCGGTACGGACGCCACTCACGCTGAGCATATCGATACCATCAAATCTAGACAATATGTAGGCTTAACAGACAGTCAACATTTCATGCCGGGAAAATTGGGAATTGGTCTGGTCATGGGTTACGACAACATGGGATTCCAAATGTCCAAACCACATTTGCGCGCGGATTTGGAAAAAGATTTACAATTGTAAATTAATTAGCAATTCAATACATGTTTACATAATTTCTTGTATCGTATACAAAATTTTATTTGTAAATCTATTTTTACTATGTGCCTTTATTTTTATAGGATATGTCAGCGTCAGAAAGATCCAAATGTGGTATTACAAAATCAGATCAATACCTATCGTGAAGTATTCAAAGTGGCAATGGAACGTGCTAATCTGATAGACGATTCTTTGGCACACTATCTTGACGAGAGACCTCTTCAAACAGAACAAGCACAATTCGCTCAGGAAGACATCATTATATTCAAGTGTCCGAAATGCAGTTCTAATATGGTTTTAAAAGAAAGACGACAAGGCAGAGGAAAGTACATCACTTGTATGGGATATCCGACATGTACTAACGTGATCTGGTTCCCGGAAGCTATAGAAGATGTGGAGGTTTTGAACGAAACATGCAATCAGGTAAATGTAACATTCACGTTTTACACAAACATGTACGAATAAATTAATTAAATTTGTGTACGATTAATATTTCCAGTGTACAGAAAATATGCGCAAATTAAAATTCAAGTTGGTTAGGAATGTTATACCTCTATATGGTACCTCTTACACAACTTGTATCGGCTGTGATACTACATTCAATGAAATGTTAAATATTAAAGAAGATTGTATTAAACAAAGTGGAAGGACAAATTATATAGCTCACAATAATACGAGGGATACATTGAGCTCAACTTTTACCTCAAGTACATCCCAGTCGCGGAGTACTCAGCAACAATCAATTTCCAGTGGTTCTACAAGACCTGTTCAAAGTAACAATATTGGTTTGATTGGAACATCTGGCTTTTCCGCAAGATCCACGCAAAGTCAAAATTCTAATATTTCTCAGCCGAACAGATCGAATAGGCCGAATATTGCCGACAGAAGTACAGCAATATCGAATAATAGAGGAAATTCTACTTCTTGGATTAATTCGAATGATTTCAGCAATACAGAAAACAGATCAGGTCAATCTACGTCTCGAAATTCACACAATACGAATAATAAAACAAATTTGTGGGGTGACGATAATGCTGAGATTATGTGTCATTGTCATGAGATGGCAATCCAGTTAACAGTTAAAAAGGAAGGACCAAATAAAGGTAAGTGACAGTCGCAAATTTGTGATTTTTTGCGCGAAAATATTTGTGATGAAATCGATAATACTTGTGATTTCAGGACGTTTATTTTATAAATGCGCTAAACCGCAAGGTAGCGGTTGCAATTTTTTGTATGGGCATCCGATAACCCAGTATCTCAAGATGACGATCATTCAAGTTGGGGATCCAACATGGACAGAAACAATAGTGGTGCTGGTCACTTCTCTCGTACTGTTACCTCTAACGATGATTGGGGAAACCCATCTATGAATGATATTATGTGCCACTGTAATCAACCTGCTCGAAAGTGAGTAAACTCCATTCGAACAAAATGGCAAATTTTTTCAGACGGATTGAATTTACGTCGATAATTAATGAGTTTTAATAAATTGAATTTTTTATTATTATCGTTGGTTGACAGCTAATATCAAAAAATATTTTCACGTATTTCTTCAGACTAACGGTTCACAAGGATGGCCCTAACAAAGGACGACAGTTTTACGGATGTCCCAAAGGTATGAACTCCACTTGTAACTTCTTCAAGTGGGCAGATGAGGCTGATGCTGATAGCCATGAGACCATGGACTGGAATAATTCCACTGTGAGAAAACAAAGGAATAGAACAAATAATAGAATCTCCCAAAAGAATAATGCCCCCAAAAGGCCTAGACTTACTGGTGGCAACAGAAAGTGCGGAAATTGTGGAATAGAAGGTAATGTGTAAAAAATTGTTTAAAATTATATCTCTGTCTCTCACTAATATTTTTAAAAACAGCAACAATTTTATTATTTATGTCTATTATATCCAAATTATACATATTTTTTCTTTATATTTAACACTATCTTTTTACAGGTCATACAAGAAAAAAATGTCCAAACAATGTAATGGACTGACGAATGAATATTTTCCAATATGATATTGTAAATAGTGTACAGTTTCTAATAGTTAAGGTTATAAAAGATTTAATTAAAACAGTATCAAACACTTGCTTTTATCTCTTAAAAAATTAAGATTGACTTTTGCCTTTTTGAAGTAACTTTTACAAATGTAAAATTAAAAAAAGGTTTTGAATATTCGAATTAATGTTGTTCCATAGTTACTATTTATCTGTTTTTAAACGATAATCTTTTTGTTATGAGAAAAATTAGTTTTTAGTCTTTCCAATTCTTCTTTTTGCAAATGAACTTCGGCGGTTGTTTGGGTTAACTATAAACCAATAATTTATGATATATCACTGCCAATGCCATTATATGCTATTATATATTTCTATTATATTTATAAACACAATGAGTGATATGACTTATAATCTTAAAAATTTTAAGATTCCAATTTATAAAATTCCAAATGTATATATATATTTTTGTTTCAAATAATGATTTTGTAACTTTTTGCAATCGAAAAAAAGAAGTGTAATGAAAAAAAATTACCATATCCAATAAAACATCAAACTTTAATCTCAACAGATTATTTTCTTCCTCCAATCGTCTCACTTCCTTTTTTAACTTCTCATTTTCTTTAAAAGTACCTCCTGCTTTGCCAGATTCTAGAACAAAATCGTCTTTTTATGTATATGGAATACACAGATGCATAAAAATCTTTACATGAACGAAATGTAATATTATTTACCTGGAATCCACAGACCAGCCTCAAAAATAGCTTCTTGATCTCCAAGACGAAGACGTATAGGGCCCACCTCCGGGCCGAGCTCCTTCTCTATTCGTTTTGGACTCAAATTCTTATTCGCCAGAAAAACTGCCGCCTTCCTAGTCGGCGTCTTCTTAGGGGAAAATTTGTTGAAGAATAAAGGCATTGCCTCAAATCGCGCTTCCGTGAATCAAGTAACGCTAAGAGACTTTTAAAGTTAACATCAACAAGGAGAAGGTTTACCTAATCATTAAAGATAAAGCAAAAAATATAACTTATCATAGTCGAACAACACAATTGTCATTATATCTCGCATTACAGATATTTAACGATTATTTCAGAAGATATCGAAAAACACAAGTAGCGCTTCGTTGCTAGATTCATATGCAGCGAAGATCGTTCCTTTGTACATTAATCAATCATTTTAACCTAACGAAGCTTTTTTTTCCGAGGAACTGAAAAAACACGCGAAACACTTGTGTAACCTTTGTTTACTTTCCTGTTACCAAGGCAACCTTTTTGAATTTAAAGCGATCGACTAATCGACAGGGATCGATAAGGATCGATGTTTCACTTCGATTTTCATTGTTGTCCAGCGTTACCACATTTTATTCGCGAGATTTCGCGTGCGGAAATACAGCTGGTAATCCTGATTCGCTTTTGTGCTGCCAGGGAATTATTTGCTGAGTCTGAGGCAATGTCGATGTCGGCGATCACTTGTCATATTATCAGCTGATCCCGATTGCGTGTGGCGGTGTCACATAACACAAACGTTACAAATGAGGCGAAGTTCACGATGAAGGACGGGCGTCATATTACCTTTTTACGAGACGATGAATAATCGGAGGTTGTGCAATATCATCTCACAGTAGAGGCGCTTCGCGTTCTTTCGGTCGCATCTCGTCGTCAACGCCAGGTGCATCACTATGGCTTGGCTCGGCACGATCGCGAACAATGTTCTGCGGAACATCGTCTTCTCGGACGCGCCGCCGAACGTGGTCCAGGAGGTCCGACCGGACCAGTACAGCAATCGGCACATACACTCTCGCGAGGACGGCATCGTCCTTTACGGATCGGGTGGTAAGAATCAAGAGAAATACGAGATCGTCCTGCACAGGCCGTGCGCGGAGACCCTGCATCAGGCATATAGGTACGTCTTATCGATATTTATTTCAAGACGAAAAAGAACATTTTTATTGTAATTGTATAAATATAAATTTAATAATTGTAAATTATAAATTTTTTTTCGTGAATTATTTACAATTTTTTAAATAGTAATTATCATTCCTTTGAGTGGCTGTTCACAGCCACCCTCTTAAGCACATAGTAATGAAGGCTAAATGTTTCTTGAATTTATTTAAGAAATTTCTGAATTATGTATTTCCTGTTTGAACATTTTCATCTATATATTTTTTTGGTTATTCTTTGAAGTATATTGGTTGCGTAATATTGATTCGTCTTTTGGTTGTGTAATATTGTTTTGGTTCAATAGAAAATTTAAAGGCGGGGATATACCATAAATCTCAGAAAAAAATATGTCTAGTAAAACCGAAGAAAAAATGTATTCTTCAGTGCATAGAAATTTACAAGCAGTAATGTCCATTTTTAGCAATTTAACTTACTTTTATCTTTTTTTAATTTTAAGAATTAAAAAAAGATAAAAACTAAATTAAATCGAGATTAAAATTAATAGACATTGGTAGAAATAAAAGATTATAATAAACAAAACAAGAATGATATTTAGACATTTTTAATTGATAAATATAAAGAAGAACTAAAACATCTTCAAAAAATTCAATTAATTAAAAAAAAACAAACAATTATATAATTTGATTGAAAATTATATTGAATTATTTAAAGAAGGCATCCATTGTATATAATTGTATACAATATTATTGATTGTTTAAGGATTATTTTAACTTTGTGTTATTTTTCTATTGATTTGATTGATTCTTCATAACTTAGATACTTTCTTGATTTTTAAAAAAATGTTTCAATTTCAGTCTGTTTCGATCAGAAACTCGTGAAGAAGCTGAGGCGCGATTTTTAATATATAAAGACAAAGTTCCTGTACTTGTGCAGATAGCACGCGAGGTATACATAACATTTCTTTATATGTTATACTTAAAGTAATGATTAAGTAGATTTTAAAGAAATGAATTATATTCTCGCATATTCCTCGTTTGTTATATATAATTTAAAAAGTATCTAAGATAATTGCCAATAATTGGTTTTATCTTTCGTTTCTCCAAGATGTGCAATGTTGGAAAGATTCAAAAACTATGTGACACTTTGATGGAACATCCAACATGGACTCTGGCGCATCTAGCGGCCTATTTCGCCCTTCATGATGCATTCATGCATGCAATCGTCAACAGTCAGCTCAACAGTGGCGACTTGGAGACCGGCATCTCGCCGTTACAAGTAGCCGTGCAGACCAACAATTTGCGTACTGTTGAGATGTTGATAGCGGCGAAGAGCTCGCTGGAGCATCTGGATCACAATGCGAACACCGTCTATCATTATGCAGCTACATCTACCAAGGAGATCATCCTTGCTTTGGGCTCGGGTCTTCCAAATAGTCTGAACAGTCGTAATAGCAACGGTCACACGCCCATCCACGTCGCATGCCAGAACGACAAGCCCGAATGCGTGAAAGCACTCCTGCTGATTGGTGCCGACGTGAATATACCCGCTTCCGAGGGTCAACCTTCTAGTCCCGGCTATGTCGGTGATTTCCTGCACAATAAACCGAACGTACTCCACGCGGAGGACATGAAGTTCGGCGGTACGCCATTGCACTGGTCACGTAGCCGCGAGGTGATCACGGCATTGATCGAAACAAACTGCGATATCGACGCGCTCAACTTCGACGGACGTACCGCGTTGCACGTGATGGTGATGCGCAAACGACTGCCCTGCGTGGTCGCTCTATTGAGTCATATGGCATCCGTCAACATCGTTGATAACGACGGCAACACTCCGTTGCACCTCGCGGTTCAGGCGGAGACTCCAGCCATTGTGCAGGCACTCATTGGCTTCGGCGCCGACATCGACGCGCGCAATTGGAAGGCAGAAACGCCTAGGCACAAAGCGAATGTCGACACCACGGAAAGCAATAAAATAATCTATATGTTAAACGCAGTGGGCGCGCAGAGATGTCCGCCAGAGATGACGGGCTGTCACCTCGGTTGCAAACACGGCGAGAATTACACCGGTATCGCGCCGTCGGAACCGCCATACTACGTGCCGCGCACGATCCTCGATCAGATGCTTCACGTCTCTGGTATGGAAAAGATGGCCGAACACGGGAATCGTAAACGGATCAAGGGCGGTAGATTGCTTTGTCTCGATGGCGGCGGTATTCGAGGACTGGTGCTCATACAGACTCTGCTGGAAATCGAATCGGTGTTGCGTAAACCTGTGGTGCATTGTTTCGACTGGATCGTCGGCACGTCCACCGGTGGCATTTTGGCGCTTGGTCTCGCCGCTGGTAAGTCCCTGCGAGAATGCCAAGCGCTCTATTTTCGTATCAAAGAGGACGCTTTCGTGGGCTCACGGCCGTATAACAGCGAGGGTTTAGAAAAAGTGTTGAAGGAATGTCTTGGCGCTAATACCGTCATGGCCGACATCGAAAGACCGAAAATAATGATCACAGGTGTGCTCGCCGATCGAAAACCCGTAGATCTGCATTTATTTCGCAACTACGAATCGCCCAGTAGTCTCCTCAAGCTACCAGAGAACCCGATGTTCAAACCGACATTGCTGCCGCGAGAGCAATTGCTCTGGAAAGCAGCAAGGGCGACCGGAGCGGCGCCATCGTACTTTCGAGCATTTGGCCGTTTTCTAGACGGTGGACTGATCGCCAATAATCCCACTCTAGACGCCATGACGGAAATCCATGAATACAATCTGGCGCTAAAGGCTACCGGTCGCGAGAAAGAAGCGATACCGTTGTCGCTGGTAGTCTCTCTCGGTACGGGAATAATACCGACCACATTCAACCTGAACGAGATCGATGTATTTCGACCGGACAGCCTGTGGGGCACCGCCAAGCTCGCGTTTGGTATCTCGGCGCTAGGTACGCTGCTAGTCGATCAGGCAACAGCCAGCGACGGTCGCGTGGTCGATCGTGCTCGCACCTGGTGTTCCATGATTGGTGTGCCATATTATAGATTCAATCCGCAGCTATCGACGGAGGTCGCCATGGACGAGAAGAGCGACGAGATATTGGCAAACATGATCTGGACCGCGAAAGCATTCATGCATGCGAATCGAGATCAGGTGCAGGAACTGGCAGCTATCATCGGACGCGATTCCAGTTCGGAAAACGATTAGGGAGTTGAATTATTGTTGAATTAGGATGAGGAAGAAAGTACCTGGTTGCAGAATCATATCGTGCGCACATACATATGTTTACACATTCGTTATGATATCGACGATTTATCGCTGGCTCGGTTAATGATTATCTGATAATTAACCTAGCAATTATCTCGTTACGTAGCATGTATTATAGCTACTACTTCATTTCTATTTGCTACTGATAACGGTCTCGACAAATGTGATATTAGATTGCCTTTTTTCGCAACTCATAAGCAGCATAATTTATGAAACTTGCATATCTTGTCTTTGTTTTTGTTCTATTTTTTTATAATTCTCGCCAAGAAATTAAATTATTTTCTTAGTCATTTATATATTTCATGAGATAATGTGCACAGGTATAATATATATCATAATATATATTTATTTTTTATTTAATTTATAAATTTATTTATAAAAATTCTGTGTTTAAAATATTTTCTATTATTCTTTTGCAAATAGAATCTCAAAGGATTCAAACGTCGCACACATTGATCTATAAATCAACAATACTTAGCTAATAGATCTATTTTATTTGTATTGTCACAGAATTTACAGAGAAGAATAAATAAAAAAAAAGTTGCAAAGCGACCGAATAATACATCTTGCTTTGTAGAATAAAATTTATCAATTTAATGTCATTAAATACTTTACAGAGTTTTATTAAACCCATAATATATGATTGAAATCTCGATGAATCGCTAATATAACAATTGTCTACGCTCGAAGTTTATCAAACACACACACGCACACATACGCCGTTGTAAAATCCTCACGCATCAAGATTTAAATGAATAAGGTCGGAAGCACATACTTCTGCATAATGTATAATGCATAAAGCATAAAAAAATGAAGCATAAAAAAATGAACTATGATTACTTATCATAGTTCTCCGTTTTCTTAACCATAATGAAAATGAAAGACTCTGAATAGTTGATTTTCCTCTGCATTATTCGTTATGACTTATGCAAAAGTGTGTGCTGCGGCCCTAATTCACGGTCAAAGGGAGAGAATAACGTCATCTTAGTTCTATTCATCAGAAAGATTGTTTCTAATATATGGCAAATAGTTTTCTATTCAATTGATAATTGTTTACAATTTTATTTTATTTAAAGGCATTGTGTATAAAGTCTCGTACTAAATATATTTTATCAATAAAACATTCTTTCCTGACCGAGATGTATCTTTTACATAAAATAAGAACAATTTTCTGAAACTACTTTTTTTTTAAATAAGTTATCGAAAGATGCCGATATTAGCGGAGAATCTACATATTTCTGAGTACAATGATATTATGATAATGCAGAAGTACTGAAATGTGAAATATATGCGTGCATTTTTTTCCAATTTATGTTATTCAAATTTATTATCGTTGTTGTTCTTTACAAAATACTAAGAATTTTGTCGGTTGGGCAGTCGTGCTGCTAAATGGCTATTAGGCTCTCGCTATGAACGAATGACAGCTATACTGATATAGATTCAATATGATGCCATAATTGTTTTGATGTCCGTATTAAACATTTGTACAATTGATATATTTATGCAAGTATTTGAATGCATTTAAAAAAATTATTAATACTTTGATTAACTAAAACAATAAAAATGTTATAAATGCACATATGTAATATGCAATAGCGAATTGCATCAACTGTTATCATGTTGTTATATTTACTTAAATATGTAATATTATTTAAAACACACAATTTTACGAAATTTCAAATAATATAATCTGATCTGATACAAAAAAGATATTTATCTTTAAAATAAAAAAATATAAAACATGTTTGCGCGCTAAAAAAGACATTCTTTTATATAAAGCATTATATAAACTCTATCTAATGATGTCGTTTCTACTAAGCTGCTTGATAAATAGAATAGATACAGTTATAAAAGTCATTTAAAATGATTAGCGTTAGCGGACTCGAGAATTTATACAAGTCAAAATGTTTACCATAAATTAATTTGGTATTTAATTTTTCTTTCCGTTATTAACAAGTACTTTGATTATACTTTATCTTATACGATGACATAACATATTGCAAATAAATCTTATCACAATTATTTTCAAAAGTGATGTATACATCAAATATTTTGAAAGCTAAGAATAAAGCGATATTTTTCCAAACATATACTTATAATAAATAACATGTTTCGGAATGTAATACAAAATTTTACGTTTCTCTCTTTTCTAAACGAATCCAGAATCCGCCGACAGGTTGCAACGCAAATTCCTTTTTATTAAATACGATTGGTTCAATCGTCTTAGGCGTAGTCTTTAGAGTAAACTTTTGTAAAAGATGAGCTAGCAGAATCTTTGTCTCCATAAGGGCGAATCGATTGCCAATACACATTCTAGGCCCCAAACCGAATGGCAGATAAGAGTACGGTACAATCTTGTCTTTGTTCTCATCGCTGAACCTTTCAGGATCGAACTTTTCCGGATTCGGGAAATAATTTGGATCACGTTGTAGAGAGTAACCAGGGTATAACAGTATGGTACCAGGTTCAATAGTTAGACTCTTACAGCCTGGTTGTGCAGGAGGCAGTTCATATTTCTTGGTGCAAACTCTATCGAGAAAGACGGCTGGAGAGTATTTTCTGAGAGCCTCGGAAACTACCATGTCCATGTAAGACATCTTCGACAGCGAGTCGTAAGATATCTTGCCGTTTCCTTCGGCGAGATGTTGCTTTATCTCCTCGCGTAGACGATCTTGTATATCCTGATGTACCGCCAATTCGTGCGCAACGAAGCACATCAGCGTCGAGGACGTGTCAAAGCCAGCCAAGAAAAAGATGAAGGCTTGCGAAACGATGCCGTCCAATGTCATCTGCACATTCGTACCTTCCTTCTCCCGAGCCTGCATTAGCAATTGAATCATATCCGGTCTGACAATACCTTTTTCCTCTCGCATTTTAATGGTATCCGCTACGATCTTCCTAAAAAATGTGGACGTCTCCTTTGAGAAGAATGTCAGGCCGATCATTTTCGAGAACCTCGGAAACGAACGTAGAAGTATGAACTTGAGAATCATGAGAAATCCATTCGAGAAGTTGGCAGCCTCGATTCCTCTCATGTAGAACTCGTTGTCCTGCTCTTTCATAGAATTCACCTTCAGACCAAAGGCCGCTGTGGCGATCACGTCGTTGGTGTAACGCCTGAAAGTCCCTTTCAATTCGACCTCGGAACAGAGCTCCGGGTGCTCGACGAAATAGTTAGCGAAATCATGGGCGCATTCCGATATCAAGTCGAACATATGTTTCATCTTGCTGGCGGTAAAGGAAGGGCTCAGTACATTCCGCATTTCTTTCCAGCGATCTCCGTGCATGAAGAATATGGTTTTGCCAAGCAGTGGTTCCAGATTCTCATCAACGAACGCGCGATGATCTTGAAAGTGCTCGAAGTCCTTCACCATGGTGTCTTTGATCAACTCAGGGTCGCGCAGAAGTATGACAGGCGTAAGAAAATCCGTTGTTCCAAAGTACTTGGCATTCGGGAGGTAATTGTATAAATAATCGCACCATTCGGTGAAATGCAAGCGACCAGTCAACATTTTCCAGCTCATGATGATGGACGATAACGAATTTGACATGTAAGGTATGCCCTTACCTTTCCAGTAGAAATGCATACGATACACCATGGCGATAACTTTCGAGGCCACGATGACGATCAGAGTGGTCAGTAATAGCCCAAAAGGCGTCGAAAACCACGACCAATCCATCTTGCGATATCACAGTGTAATAGACTCAACAGAGATGCTTCGTCAGGCACGGCACAGAACGTTATAAGTACGTATACGTACAGCGAATCTTATTGTGACAGAAGTGGCACTAGAGTGGGAGAAACGCTCGGTAATATTAACGATGTGTTATATCAGTAACTGCGCATGTAGTACGGTTAACAACAATTATTTTTGGATTCATTTCAGAAATCAATTATTAATAATCTAATTTGATAAAAAAATTTGCTCCAAGGTTGACGATGATTTCAGCATTAAGATAGTTCCTACCGATTACATAATCGCTACTTGATCGCTATGCGTCTCTTGCATCTGTGTATGAGTTTTGCATCTGATTGAAATGTTACATAGAAATAGCTAATGAAGAGTTTTCAAAATAACAAGAAAATTTATGTTTTATCTTCTAAAAATCAGTTGAGAGAAAGATATAAATTTAAAAGTCTACAAAAGATTTCTCTCTC